GGTTTCAAAGGAGATTTAACTAATGGATTGATAAACGACAGAACTTATCCTGCACCAAGGCTCATCGCAGTATGTGAGAAAGCTGCACTTGTAAATAAACGAAAATTGACAAGTCTTCCATTCTCATCTTCTCTAACATCATTTATTAGTTTAAAATCACTAGCCAAAGCACTCAAACCAAAATTATGAAGAGAAGAGTGTCTGCTCTTACTTGGAGCAAGTTACAAAGAACTTGAGATCACAAGGTTCTCCAGCATTAAACAGTTGCATAGTGCGATAATTGATCCATAGTGGGCATATCATCAACGTTCGTTAGTTTTTAGAAAAGGAAAAAGACATAAATTTAACTTCTAAACTATTTATACATATTTATATATTGGTCGATAGTGATATTGATTAAATGAGGAGGTAAATTATTTTTGTTATCATTATTTATCCTGAAACGTATTGAAATTCAGCAGAAATTTGTTTAATATCTTATAGCAACTCACGTGCAATTGAGTTTGTTCACATTTAATTCGTTCAAGTCATATTGTTAACTTATTTAACAGACCGAGTCATCCGTACTACAACAACTCATCTATATCCTTGTACCTTTATTATTGTTGCGAATGTATGAATATGTATGCTTGAGCATTGCTTAATGCCTACTCATATATTCATTCTGCTAGCTTTACTATTAGCTCATCATAAATGAAAATTATTTTTGAAATAACCTCAGTGATTGAAATTTAAATAATTCCAAAGTTTCGTTCAGCTAACTTGTCTGGACTTCTTCAGGGTAATAATCAAAATAAAAATCACCAAAGCAATATATAGCTTTTTAACAATCTAAACTATACTGTGTTAAACCAATCATATTTGAATGTTGATTTTGTAAAACAGTCAGTTAAATGCGAATATCATTAAGTGACCGGCTATTTTCTTATTTTTTTTAATCCCTTCAAAAAAGTTTTTTCATCCCATTTTCCAAAATTTTTCACCACTTTTCGTCCAATTAAATTGCTAGTTTTAAGTTTGTTATAATTGGTTAGTTATGTCTTTAAATTGTTATAAAATGTCAGCACTCGCCAAAAAAGTACATTTTCATCATCATTATGGAGGAGGGTAACGTGTCATGTACAAGTGCTGTTGTTTCTCACGTCACAGAAACGGAGGATGTATTTTTGACTACATTGTTCCTCGTTGCGTTTCAATCAGTTAAAGCGTTAAAGTCGGCTACCAGAACCTACGAAAGATCTACGTACTGTCATTATGTGGTGAGAGATTCTCATTTGGATAGAGATCAGAAATCGTATATTAAATTTGTATGTTGGAGAACTGGCCGTAGAAGATCTAGTGGTTCGTCACAGCCGATTAGACGAAGGAGGTAATTTGATTAGTGTTATTACATTTTTTTGCACGAAGGACTTCCATGAACACTCAATGTCCCGCCTTCATCTTTTGTAAGTTTATAGAAGGTTACTGGACTGTTGTACGTGGGAATGTGCGTCACAATCACGAGTGCAATTCCCTGAGGTACGACAGTAATTCTTGGGTTCGCAGGTTAACGGTGACTGGGTTTGAAACCTTGCGACCGCTCCTGATATCTAAGACAACAGCATTCGATATTAAGCACTTTGCTTACCATTCTTATGGAAAGCGTTTGAATGCTCAAGATATATTTAATATGGGGTACAAAGTGCTCTCACACGCCAACCTTCCTGGTAAGCAATCTGCGTATTTATAATGTAAACGATGGGTGATTACGCCAAATTAAAAGCTCACATAACGTCCTTAGGTGGGCTTTGCGATTACGAATTAGACGAAGAAAATTGTCTATCGTATTTTTTCTTCACGATTGCTGATCAAATGAATTTGGCAGCTCGTTTTTTTTTATGTCGTCGGTTTCGACGGGATGTACAAAACAAATAACGAGAACGTATATTTATATCAGGTAGTAGCCCTTGATATGAGTTTTATGGCAATACCTGTTTGTATTGCATTTATATGTCGCGAAACATCGACTTTAATTTCTCGATTCCTGTCGTTCTTTCAACGGTCAGCTAACAATCGACAGGTGGTGGGCATTGTGACAGATGATTCACCTGCAATAGCTGCTGCCATCACGCAGGTGTATCCAAATACCCACCACATTTTGTGTCGTGTACACTTAATTCGCAATGTCATTAAGAGGGTAAGTGTTTAGTTCCTTAACATTAACCCATTAACCATCATTGTAGAGAGTACGATCAGAAGTGATACAACTGTTTTTTTGCCTGATGTTCACTCGAACTGTGGAAAGGTAAATGAAAATCTACATAACATTATTTTGTAGTTTTAACAGTTATTTGTTGTTGATAGAAATATCCAACGAAACGTTTTTTCGATATGTGAGAGACCACTTACTGCCGAGAAAACAAAAATGGTCTACTGCTTTTCAACCATCAGCAATGCTGCTTCAACAAAATAATACCAACTTCGTTGAGACAACTCATCGAATTTTGAAGATGCATAAACTGAATCGAAAAACACCTGAGTTGAGATCTATATTTAGTGTGCTACTTCGCACTGGATATTGGATGGAAGCACGACTGCAAAAGTATACATCAGACTGTCGGAATAAAGCGATTATTGGTTGGGAGCCACTGATACGTCGACTTCAGGAACGCCTGACACCAGCTGCATGTCAAATACTGAAGCGACTGGTTCACGGTAGATATAAAAGTTAAGAAATCTTATACAATAATTTCTCATCTAATGAACACTAATCTAGTAATTTCAGATTTAAAATAACGTGAATACCGTTTATGTATTAGTAACACAATTGTAATCTATTTATAATAATGGTACATTTTAGTAAATTTTAATAGGAATATTTCAATATAGTGAATATTGTCATTTCGTCGTAAGGTCAATGAATATAGGATTTTATTTATAAGTGAATATAATAATAAGATGATTAATGTGATTAAAGGTCATATAGGTGTAAAAAGAAATAAACATGTTTACCGTTTCATGAATATTAAAAGAACCTGAAACCAGAATTATGCGTACATAGAAGTACGTCTTATCGTTACATTGGCTTTCATTATTATTCATAAATACTCATCAGATCACCTTATTTATTTTTACATCTCTATATTACCTTTAATTACTGTTACAAAGTCACCTATTTACTTATTACATTGAAATTAAACGTCAGTATACCTAAATGTTAATTGATACTGTTGATCTTATTCATGTTTATCTGTATAATTTAAATAGAAATTTTTGTCGTCAGACGACGTAGGCTTATTCATTTACACTTAATACAACAAATATTTCAAATGCTCGTTAAAAATGGCTTATATTCATAATGTACAGATATTTCAGCTTTCATATTATAAAAAACAATATTCACACATGACGAAAATGTACATACAGTTTTTTATTGTTCCTCTATTATGTTTCACAAAGATAATCGATGATTTTCAATATCATTCCATACCTTATAAATAAGTAACGTTTGCAATGTTATTGACATATGACATTTACTAACTCATGTAAACATTTTGCTAGACTGAAAAAAACCTAACACGCACTTTCCGAACCCAATTACCAATTAACATGACTGCTTAAACACACAAGTATTCATTTTCATTATTATTAACGGCTGAACTACAAAGCATGTACAGGTAAAAGCAATTAAAGCTTTTGATGATTTAGCAAAATAACCCTATTGAAATCTAACGTTTTATTAACAAAACCGTTTATAAAGTGAAAGTAAACAACTATTTCGTATTAAGATTTAGTATTTACTAAATAACCTAATCATAAATATTAATTGCCTCTTTCTGATAAATTATTACTTCTTTGAGATAGCGTAAAAGTCGCTTCATTAACCGATGGCTTACGGTTCGTTCGAGTGGTTTATACATGCCCTGATCAAGTATTTTATCATTACGGTCTATTGATATGTGGATTTTTTTAAAAATTAACATACCATGTGTTAAGAAAGAACGTATGGACACATTTAGGTGATATTTTGTTTATTAATTGGGTAATAAACATTTGACTACCGACCTAATTCATTAATCACTATTATCAAATATTTAAACAGGTTTTCATTTCTTTTTCCAAATACTTTCTTTTAATGAGATACATTTAATTAATCGTGTCGAGATAACTAACGACTTCAATTCAAGGTCTACTTGATCGGAAAACAAAAATATATCCCAATACACATTCACTAATAGTAGTATTGCACGGTAGTGAAATTGAATTGGTGTATTTTTCTTCATTAGTCTAAATTTTTTTTCAAGACTAATATTACACAAAAACAATTATTCATTATTATTACATTTAAAATGTAAGAATGCAAATTCTGACATCCAATTAAAGCACTTGATGCTATTTCGATTTCAACTAATCAGATTGCAAAGATGAACAGTTTACAACCAATTACAAAATTATTAAAGGTGACAAAATTTTTGTTCATTTTCACCTGAGTACACACTTGCAAAACCAATACACCAATAACCGATCAATAAATTTATCTTTCACACCCTAAAATTTCTAAGCAATGGGTGGTAGGGAACCGTAATAGCCGTCCATTTAATGTCAACCTCGCTGATTGATGTGTGAGCGAGAACAATCATGATTGGTTGTCTGCTTAGTCAGACATGTAGACAATCTGACAAATGTCAGATAAGTTTTATATGTTCCCTTACCCTTATTATTGTAACTTACTCTTATACATATATATTTATTATTGATTGTTCATTGTTGTGGATTGTGTCGGTTTTGAGTATGAAAATATATTACGTTCTGGTCAGGCTGATTACGTGTTCTTGATCTGAGTTGTGTTGAAGTCCTGTAGAATAGACACTCGGACGGATCTAGTGTAGATAATCGTTTAAACGTTACAACATCAGACAAAGTAATACGGAGCGTTATGACACTAATGAGAGATGGTGTGTTAGTTATCATATCAATACTGACCACGATTAAATAAAACAGTGAAATAAACGTTAACAAACCTTCGTAATAGACTTTATCTACATTGAAATAAACCATATTTTCCAAAGAGTTCGACACTAAGCTGACATATGGCAATGATGTTGATTGGCTTAACATTATTGGCTTGACTAATATGTATTCTTGGTAGGCACCTGGAGCATAAAGTTGAAAATATATCGTCTGCCATACATTTGGTTTCAGAGTTAGCGTTAACTTCAGTGATGTCATATAGTTCGGTATAACTTGATTTCTGACTGTTTTTGAATCAATGGAAATTAAACCAACTCCTGGAACCTGACTTGATGACTTAAAAAATAAACAAATGCAAATTCCTTTGACATACTGTAAAAGTGTGAATGTGTTATGAACTAAACACTTACAACTTACCCCTATAATCACGAATTAATAAACTCGATAAAATTACATTACTCTTCAGTGATTTCACTCAAAAAGAATTTAAGAATTTCTTGATGGATAGATACATTAACCAGTCATGTAAGGCAATCAGAGAGTCTGGTTTGGTGTTCGAATTGGAAGTAAATCCTGATAGGATTAATCTACGAGTTGATTTAATGACGAATAGTATAAATTAATGAATTTTCACTAATAATTTGGTAACATAGTGTGTATCATAAATGCTAGGTATCCAATATTCAATATAACTCTGCTTTTGCTGGTTACTAAATCACCATGCATGAAAGTCATCTTCATACCTATCAAATTTTACTACACAACAAAGTGAACAAGTTGTTTGAATGTCACTTCAACCTGTGTATGTGTATCACATTGTGAAGATCATACTTGCTCTAACCAGTTACAAATATTTGTCTAAACCTAAATCACAGTCAGTAGTTTATGGTAGGGTTAACAAACTCTGAAGTAAAGTATAAAGCGAAATTCAATGCAATAAAATGTTTTTTCAAGTCATACCAACACAGTAGAATAGTTAGCTCGTGGAGTGATAGTTAATGTTTTCGTAAAACTGGATACACCAGAGGTAAATGTTGATGTGATTATTAAAGGCTTCGTGGTGATTGGAATTATCGAATAACGCGTTGCAATATCACACTGAGCATCTGTACATGATTCATTGAAGTACACCGAATTTATTTGCAATCTAGCCAAATTACTTTGGTAATCGAGAAAAGAAAATTAAAAGGAAAGAGTGAAAGATTTGTGGATATATGTTGGAATTACAGAAATACTGTAGTGCATCTTCTAATTTGAAATTCATAGAGAGGATCATTACAGATGAAGCCCAAATTCAAACAAAGATATGAATAAATTAATGATTACAAATTATCATAGTTGATTACTATAAAGCAAAATTAATGAGAGGCGTTAAGTGTTATCAATGAAACTTCCAATGGTGTGAATTATTTTCTCCTGTTAATTCATTTAAATACAGTCCAGTGTGAAATTATTTTTGTAATGGTTGTTAGGGATGAGTTGCTGTTGCATTGAACTATTTTGATAACCACAGTAAGTTGGTGAGTAGAAAGTGCATAATTTCACCACATTCATGAGTGTTTTGCCAAAAGTGTGAACAACAAATGTAGAAGTGGTTATTAGAGCTGGATTGGTTCAATTTTCATTTCATTCACGGTTTATCGAAATGATAGTAATATCAGGTTTATAAGCAAAGTTGGATAGTGGCTAGCAGTGGAATCCAGGACGCTCAATTCGTTTTATTTGGGACTCGTCAGCTGGATGTACCTGCATCTCAGAGTTGATGTTCACCCTAGAACTCGAACCCAGTACCGTTCGCTTCAAACTCCATCGTGTTATCCACTTAGCTACTGAGTCCTCAATAGGACGAAACGCGCGTCCTAGATTCCACTGCTAGCCACTATCCATCTTTGCTTATTATGCTTATGGATTAAGGCAAGAGCAAGACAATACGCACAGTGTGCACATATGCCATTAAGAGACTGATCAATAGCAATCCTAAACATCAATGGGAAGATTCAAGGAAACTATGCCAAGTGAATAATAGGATGTTTTAATGGAAATCATATAGTATGTGCCAAGTTCGTTTTGTCTTTACTCAATTAACTTTTGAGAAACACTTAGTATAAAATCGTATATCATTAGGGATAATGACATGGCACCCTTTTTTTATTAATAATAATGATATTGATACTCCAAACGGGTTTGATCAACAGTGGTTCAGTTATGTTCAGTCTTTTCAACGTATATAAAGGATAACGGACAGCATCATGGATACTACAACATTTATATATATAAATGAAAATTGAATATTAACTCGTTATAGATTACCTACATTTAGGTCCCTACTACAGTGACTGGTAATTGGATGTATGTGGCAATCTAGAACCCCTACACGTGTTGAATTCTTAACGAAAGTCTGGATTAACAAAAGGATATTAATGTACAATTTCTATATACTGAGACTGAAAGTATCTTCTCAAATATCTAAATCTTGTCTATCGGAAAAATATAGAAATCAAATTTCAACTTCACTATAATCTAACACTCAGTGGATAATTCTGAAATGATGACTCATTAAAATATAATTCATTTTTTGCACAGAAATCTACTGATATGTGAAATGTCATTTGGAAAACTGATAAAACAAACTGACATAGAGTTCTGAATAATGAATCCAGATTTATTGACGAATTATGCAAGATAGTCTTCCAGGACAATCTCCAAAATTTGAAGGTTTGATAGACATTATGTATTTCAACAAGGAATTCTGGTTTAATAATAGTAAATTACAGGTATTTTTAGTTAATTTGGTTTACATTTGATGTGGTGGAATTGGTCCATATCCGTATACTTGATTTTCCATAACATTATACCTGAGTATATATATGTATATATGATGAATTACGTATGTATATTTACACATATATGACAATACGATTAATAATCAAGCTTACGGTTTTACCGAAGAATCATAACCCACAGGTGCTACAGATTTTAATAGATATCCAATTGTTTGAAAACTTTGTCTGATTATTATTGCTTCATTCGTATTTACTTGTAGCTGAAAAGTTATTGGCATATAGACAAAGTCTTCAACGAATTTCACTCGAACTTCTACAATTGTACTAAAGTTTACTGTTGGTTGTGAATTTCGTGGTTCGATTTTTTCAATAGTAACTACAGGAGTTTTAGAGACCTAATTTCAAATGGTGTTTGCAAATGATAACAAAAATAATTTATTGAGTGCAAATTTGAGAGATTGATTACAATTGAAGTTTACATTTACATGTAGTTTATATTTGGGTTATAAGCATTCATCTGAAATGATTTGCAAGGAATAAAAAATGTTAGAAAAAGATGATGGCTGATGAATTTAGGTCTGATTTAAACGAAAAGTATTTGAGTAAATACGCCATCCTGATTTAGTTGAAAATTATCAGGAGCTAACGTGGCGTAGTACTATATTTCATGCTGCATTTATAATGCTGTGCAATTTAAACTGCTCCACTCTAAAACATTGATATTTTTGTATTTCAAATTCTAAAATCTGTAACCACTGATTGTTTCGATATAAATCGACAATCACTAAGTTAAATATCGTAAAATAAACGGCCGTACCTTTTAATCCTAAACAAGAGATCTTGACTAAATCTGTGCCCCGTTAATTGGGTCCAAAATTTATTTCAGTGCAGCACATTATTTCACCTTTAGTCAATTAAGTGACAGATTGATGATGACTCAAAATTAGACTATGATACAAAATATCAGCGTGTATTGGAAAATAGTGATTGATGTGATCTGGGATTCGATACCAAAATCAGTATACCTACAGAACAAAACTGTTTCGACTTAATTTGTAATAGTTTGGATTATTCCACTGTAGATTTGCTGATCGAATTCTGACTAGTCATATTTACTGCATGTGCATCCAATGCAGATCACTTTCATATTGTTGGAACAGCTTCCGAAAACTACGACTGAGCCTCCAGAGGCCCTAGAGAAGCCGAAGAGTTCCATCTAATCAGAATGTAATCGGGATTTCCAAAATATCAACGTGGCATGCTACTATTGACCAGTGGCATAACATGTTTATTCGCGGACTGGTTGAATTATAATGTTGATATAACAAGCGCTAAATACCCATGATTTTCTGTACATTTTGATTCTTGCCCATCAAGTACTTTCTCGAGTCTTCTTCTTCTTTCTTCTTATTTGCGACTTGGAGGGTTCTAGCGTTCGATTGTTCAAGTTATACGTGGTATAGTAGGAATCTAAACTAGATATGACAACTGGTGACGGGATTTATTAATCAAAATGTCATTTACCTTCGATCAAGTTGAAGCCTTGTTTGGGTGTCAAGAAAAACGCTACGAACAGTTCCAGATTCATATTCTAGAAGCTCTAACTCAGCAAATGAACCTATATCAAAAGGGGCTCACAGATGATCCGTTCAAATCCCATGTTGACCACATCATCAATTCTATCCATGAATTTCATTTTGATGGTTTGGCTGTCGCTACATTTGAATCGTCACTCAAGAAATACAAAGATGTGTTCAGGGTCGACCTAGAAAAATTTGACGATGCCTCAAAGAACAGAGTGCTGCTACGCAAACTTGGTACGGCTGGACATGAACGCTACACCAACTTCATTTCCCCTTAGAACCCCAGAGACTTTTCATTTGATCCAACGGTCTTAACATTGTCGCAAATTTTCGGTTAACAGTCATCTTTGTTCAATATTCACTACCAATGTCTGAAGTTAGATAAAGCTGGAGACGATTACCGGGTGCAATATGCTGGCATAGTAAGCGTCTCCAATTATCAGCAATGACGGAAGTCTAGTTTAAGTGTCCTGTCTTGTATACAGCTTACAGTCGCTTGAAGATGTCGACGTCAGAACCGGAATTCTGAGTAAAATTGAACAGTGTGACTAGTGAATGTCAGACGTTGATGAACATAAAACATGATATATCTATGGTTGAAAACAGTGTCTGGCCACCATACGTACAGGTAATAAATGGTCGGAAAGATTCTTTTGAACACACACAAGACAGCTCAAACAAACAACCTCCATCCTAGTGCTGGTTATGCGGTGAGTGGTACTACAAGAGGTTTTTCCCATATAAAAGCTATCGTTGTACTAAATGTCATCGTAAATGTCGTAAAGAATCCAGCTACAGAAAAAGAACCCACCGTCGTTCTTCGAAAACCTATTTCAAAATATACAGATCTGGTGCGATAACTCACAAAATACTGGTATCTCAGACCAAAGCACGAATTTACCGTTGAAGAAAGTGTGTAACTTCGACTATTCATAAACAACGTACTCACCTTCGACTCGAAACAGCATCTGATATCACTCTCATCAGCCCAGAAACTTTAAGAAATAGTGGGAATCCCACAGTTCATCCAACAACACAACTAACATACAGTGCATCTGGTAGGAAGTTAAATATTGCTGGAGAAGTACTCTGCACTGTTTCTAAAGTTAATATGACAACGAGTGTAGCAGTATACCTTACAAAGAATCCATCACTTGACTTGTTTGGATTAGATCTGATAAAGACACTACAACTAGCAGAGAATTTGACTGACAACATCTGCAGCTGGATCAGAACTGATAACCCCTTGGAGTGGAAGTAGAAAAGTGCTGTGCTACAAAGACACCACCACGTGTTTATAGAAGGATTGGGAGAATGTACGAAAGTCAAAGCAATACTAACCCTCAAAAATATTGTTTAGATGAATTAATAAATGAAAAACATAAATCAAGCTTACAGGAGTAGTGGGTATGGGTTTCTCCATAGACGTTATTGGTTGCGTTACGACAAAAGAACATACAGTTAGTGATCCAGAAAACAGCCGAACGTACGTTTGTAATGTATCACCTAAGACGTAGGTGGTATCATACCATAATTTCACTCCGATTTGGAAATTATAAAAAACATTCCATTTGTTATTGTTTCTAAATATACCGATTGCCGTTGTGCCTGCTGTTCTTCGCCCTTGAAATACAATGTATTCTGTTATTAGCCTGATCTGTGATGTTAGTTAAACAATCAAATTGAAAATACAATATCAAAACATTTATTAATGTCGAATTCCCCAATAGTGATGTGATAGTTCTATGTTTATAAATATCAACGGAATCAATGGGATACCGTTTAACATCACTGAGTAAGAAAAATCTATACTTTATGCCTGACTTCAGCAATCAAACTAGTAAGAAGTAATATAAACAAAACACTCTACACATATACGACATTTATTGTAATGATAAGATATTATACACTGTTCAGTCATGTGACATATAAGTTTTTGGGTCAAATCAATTATATGTACTTAACTCAATGTAACTAATCCTGGGAAGATGGATACATGACTAAGTAAATGATGGAATAAATAAATTGAAAATCCATTACTGTCTCATATGATGAATACAGCACAAAATCAACAGTGTTCACCATCAGATAAATAGAACCAATGACTACTGTAAGGAGTTAGCTTTTGCATTCAATAAGCACAGCAGAGCGAATAACCAACAACACTTTTCGTTTGATAAACTGCATCAAGGAATCATTGATCAAGGGAATGTCTAAATAAGTAAGTAAGTAAGTAAGAATCGTCAAACAATCCTTTTGATAACATCTGCATACATTGATGTTTATCATATGAAAATCTCATCCAAGAATATGTTACAAAACATGTTAGTTAACGGTACAAAATCAGGATTCTTCATTTTACATCAGAGAGGAAAATTGAACTTGTCTGATCATGAGTAAGCTGAAGAGAATAAATAAACAACTTTAGGTGTGCTGGGCAGTTATGTCAATCAGAAAGGTTACTACTATTAGTGGTATCTATGATATTGGACCATCAGCACTACTGATATTTGTTTGTTCGTACTGAAGTTCGAATTTTTGGAGTTTGCTCATCATATTTAATTGATCCGTCTGGGTTAAGTCCTGTTGATCAATTCATATATATGTCGCGGTTGAAGAAAAGAATAATGATAGAGTGCCAATTAGAAGTAAAACCGTTATTTACTATTGTCATCTGTTAATAGACTATAATTGTGGATATGCATTGATGCAGTCAATCGTGACTTTGTACAATTGGTTATGGTTCAAAATTGCTAAATAAAAAACTGTCTCTTGTATAATAATTTTTTTGTTTTTGATCTTAGCCATGTTTAGCTAAGTTAAAGGACAGTATTGTCAAGTTAAGTATTGATTATCTGTACACCAGCCGTGATAAAGGGTTTCGAAAATTTTTATTAGATTTTGCAGTTCACTTAATGGATCGATTTTAGTTGAACAGCCACCCAGTAACAGAAAGCACTAGGAAGATGCTCTGTACTGGAATGGGACTCATCAGCATAGCATATCCATGGCTTGAGTGTGGACCAACCCAGGACATTGAGTTATCATAGAGAACACTTAGCCTTTAGATCACTGAGTTGTCATTCGACGATTTATATGTCTAACATAACTTTATTTGTGACAGTCCAACAGACGATATCCGATGCCGATGTTGGTTACCTGCCTTACACTCGGCATTGTTAAAGAATATTGCATGACAATTATGTCCCTAACTAACCAATCAAAGCGTTTCTTAAACGCACAACACAACAATCTGGTCTGGTCTGACTGCACTAATCGAATTGGTTTTCCGTTTAGAAACAGATCAAGTTTAAAGAGAAGTTGTCCTTGTTCTGACAATATATTTCATATTGACTGGGGTCTTTAGTATCGTGTCTAAACTTCTAGCAGAATATCTGGCTTCCTGTAAAGTCCCTTGATGATAAGGGATAAACATAGTGATAATCCATTAGTTTGGGGTTGATATTTCTTTTTTGAATCCCTTCCTATCTAGTTATTATTGTTGTAAGGTCTTCAAGACAGGTTTTAGTATCAAAGTTTGACTTGATAGTTGAAAATAACCTGTGCATCAGATAGAATGTTAGTAATAAAGTGATAGTATATTGATCATATCCCAATCAGTAGAAAATCGAACTTCTCGCGTTTTGTGAATTTATGTAAACCATTCTTCAGAGTAGATAAATAAAAGAAAATAACCGAATCAAACTTACAGTTTTAAATCGCATAAAAGAACACGTCAAAAGATTTATTTTATTATTTTAGAAGATTTTAATCTGTGTGGTTTTTGATTCGCTTATCATTTTATTTATCTACTCTGAAGAAGTGGTTTACACAAAGTCCCAAAACACGAGAAATACGATTTTCTACTCATTAAGATATCACCAATATATCGTTGTTTTATTATTTCAAGGGAATTATTTATCCTCAGCTTAGACGTCACTAACTTTAACCCTTTATCTGTTTCTTTCTGTGACGAGATGATAAACTTTATATATCAGGTTATTAGCAACTGTCTTAATTGTTTATCAAATATGTATTAGCTTACTTTTCTAGATATTTTCCACAATGTGTCGACATTCCAAATATAACGATTTTTCTAGAATTACTCCGTTTCTTTAAATTACATCGTAAACTGCCTTCATGTGATCAATAGAGTTGACCACCTTGGTGAAGTTGATGCCATCTGACATACCGTTAACATGTTCATCTTACTTATCTGACTTCGTCAGAAAATGATCATTTTAGTCGTCAGTTTATAAGCCATTAAGTTTCTTGAAATATAAATTATGATTTTACTTTCTCGCCTTTTCCCTAAACTTCACTCAGATCGTGCACGTTCTTCTGTATTTTGAATTGGATTATGTATGATGTAATCTATTTCTAGAATCCTGTCTCCACCTTTTTATTATATTCGTTTTTATAAACATTCCTAGTTAAACTGTAGGCAAAAGCTGTATGGATAATATTTTTAATTCTTTCAAAATAACTATCTTCTTACTAGTATACATCTACATCAATCACAACCTTAAAATAGACGTCTGTTATATAAAATTTGGGTACTTAACTTTTTCATAGAATTAATATAATGGAGGAAATATCTTCTAAACGTACTAGATGAATAAGAATTTCTGTCAAGATGTATACAATTTGTTATCTACTGTTATAACCAACATACCAGTCTTTATAACTTCATGTGGATTGAAATAATGAGGAATAAATTGATTTTAATTGGTTAATCAGACAATTTTATACTAAAGGATCTTGTGGGTCCCAGCAGTTTGATATTTATGTTTTTTAAATTGATGATTGTTTTATGGGGTTCACACGTCATTACTTACGAAACGCACAAATCCAAAGTCAATAAAAAACCTGAAAAAGGTGTTTCAATTATAAATGAGTTTTGATTCTCCCTACCATTTACCTATTTATAGATATGAGGTATATCAATATAAAGTGACAAGTAACATAAATGATTCAAATACAATCATACCGAAGTCAATTATCAAGCATCAAAATTTCTACTGTTATTCGTGCTTTAAAATTATTGACACAAGTTTGGTAAAGTATAAAGGTAAAGTTTGTCGTCCCTTATTAGAGTCTTTTAAATACCACAGAAAATGAAATCAATCATTATGATATTTTAAACTTACTTTCTTAGTTGAATTATTTTCTGTTAACAAGTAATCCACGGAACATTGTTCAGTCTTTAGTTTACCAGTATTACTTAAATAAATACTATAAAGTGCTGTCGTAGAAGGCCGAATAATCAGTTGAAGATTAAAGAATTGTAACTTTTCAGCTTGATTCACGATTGAGGTATCCTTTAATGTCAAGTTACTTTTCGCAGCCTATTCGTTAAAAAGGAAGTTAAGATGGTTTGTACTGAAAACTTACCAAATTAGAACCTGCAAATGGAATGAGTTGGCTCTCACAAAAATTCACTGTAGAATTCTTACCTAGTGGTGAGATTTTTGCTTCAAACATAACGGATACCAAACTTGGTCTGTATATCTGGATAAAAACTGTTAGACGAACTGATCGATTCGTCATCGGCAAGGTTGTGTCATAAACACCTAAAATATATTTTAAATTAAATGTGAATATTTACATATGAATATAAAATAAGAATTGCACATCCCAATAACTCGGAATAGAAATATTTCAAGTAATATGAAAACAAGTTCGGTAATGAAATATAATGAAAAATAATTTTTTTTTGTTTTTTTTAACACGACAGTGGTATCTTTATGAAAAACTGAGCCCGACTAAGGCTAAAAGATAGCCAACTAAGCGTAATTTTATGCTTTATAGTTGTAAGAGCTCTAGTGGTGAGTAATGGTAGTAACCTTAGGTAAATTAAAGTCATAATCTTCCAGTCTGACTGAGTTTAACCGCATCAAATGTGAAGCAATTACTTTATAAATGACCTTAGAAAACTGCACCGAATTTCCAGCCAGTTCTAAACTAATCAGAAAGCAGCTTTTAAAAATGAGTATTGTATGAAAAAAAACGATGAGATTACAGTATGAACGGATTCTAGGTAATTAATGAATATATTAATATCTTCTAACTGTTGTTCCACCTGTGAGTTGAAGAAACAAAGAGATATTACTTCAACCGTGCTTTTAGAGGTTATCCATCTTCGCTAATCTTTAAAATGATCCAAAACGAGTTCTCACACTATTTTTCGTTAGGGATAGATATTTAGGGTAATGGTTAAGGCTTTGAAGTTTTATTCACGAAATAACAACTTGAAACTTCTCTGTTGTCGTATGTGTGAGTGGATTTCAGTCAGAAATATTAGAGTAGATATTTGATCAGTTCATTCATAAAATGTAGTTCCACTAGGTATAGGTATGTTCAAGGATTAGATATTTGAATTTAGGATATATGGGTAGTGCCAATTTGCCTGTTAAATATAATCAAAGGAGACAGAAGTGGAATTTTGATAAACTTAACACTTGCTATCTTAATCTATGTCTGCAAAATCTTGATTTTTGCAGTCAATGTGAATGTTTTGAGTAGTACACAAAAGTATTTTCACTGCTCGTCATACATAGTATCTGAATTTCGCGCTGAAATTCAATTCTGATTGACTTGCCCTTAAAGTATGCTTTTGCTGAAACCATCGCCATAATTACTTTTTGAATGGAGTATTCTACATTACTCTTTCCATTTTCTGATTGATTTTCATCACTTCTAGTTAGCTAAATTTCTGTAATCTTCGAGGTCATCCTTTTGTTCCTATATTACACAGTTAAGTGAAATCATAACCTTGAACGACGTATACTAGTACAATTCACGGAAACCTCAACAAAGCATACTATGAATATATTAATTAATTTTTGTTCAGGAAATAAGTTGGACAAGAGATATTTGATTTCAGTAGACAGCTTGATGATAAGTGAAATGTACAAAGTTTAAAAAATAACAACGAAATAAAAAGTATCTTCGATGATTCAAACATGTTGATAACTATTTGATAGTGGTTAAATTCGACTATTGATCACAACCCGGTCAAACCATACTACTTTGTTCTTTTAAATTTTACCGTGACAATAGATGATAGCTGTAAACTAGAGAAACCAGATGTCAGGAGTCTCTCAGTGTGAATAAATCTGTAGTGATTCCATGATAAGCAGCGAAGAAGTACTATCGTGTGTTTTTAGGCAGAATGATGACAACACATTTTAGAAGTTCTCCCAATAGAAGTTTAGAAGTTTTAAGACAAATCTATTAACAAATCTATTACAAAATAAAGTAGTGTTACAAGTAGCAGGATTATTCAGAAGTTAAATGAAATCACACAAAAGTAAATATATCTGATAATGAAATGTATAACAAACTGCCAGCAGATATCCTTTGATCAGAAGCATTTGCCCTTCATTTGTAAATTGATATGGCGTGTAGGTATGAAGCTCAATTAACAGGTCTCGATTTTATTGAGAGGCCTGTGAAATCCATATCATTCAGGAGCTCATATTTGAAGTGACTTCCACTCATACTCATTTTTGTGGTCCATATTTTTATATGTAAACATGTAACTTTGCGAAAAACAAATCCCATTCTTCTTTCCATTAGTAATGTCTTCACTTGGAGATTTGTGTTAATAATCTCATCTCGTATTCAGCAAACACAGGGACTAAAGTAACATTACGTTTATCTATCGATTTTTTTTACAGTTCTAAAACCAAGCATTGTTCACGAGATGATTACCAGTAAAATATATCTTGAAATCAATGAGTTTTCGGAATACGACTTCTGGAAACAAATATTTTTATCCAACTTGAATAACAATGTATTCAGCCCCCACCATCATCTTCATTCCCACTAATCACTCCATCTTTATGTATATTCGATTGTTCACAACATCTCTTGTCATTTCAGTTCAGTAATAAATGTCTTTAGTACGTAGAATCTGTCATACCATTACACTACAAGTGTCATGTTTAATAGCTTTTTGAAGTAAAACAGACGAACACTTTTCAAATTTCCACTGGGCAAGACAGTAGAATAAACACTGAGCTCAGTCAAATTCATCATCAACAGTTGAAAATGTTTTATTCACTGATTTGTCTGTGCACAAATTTTGTCACCAAATATATGTGGTTGTTAAAATTGATTAGTAACATCAATTTGACGAGGCCGTCATACTGACCGGTAAAGAAAGTGATTCATCCGACAATATAAACTGAGAAATAACTATCAAAATATTCAGGTTATCTTCAAATGATTATTAATGGAAGATATCTATATTGCATAATACCGAAATGCAAGTAGCAGAATCAGTACCTAAAATCAGATCATCCACTGCCTTAATAACATGCAATGTGAAAATTCGGTTTATGTGTAAATAAGTATCAGAAAGTGGAAAGGCGCTTGTTATTGTTTCGAGAAGTGCACACTTAATTTCATAAACATACATACAGGAAAAGATGTAATCTTTCGTAAATACAAATATTTATGAGTACCACGTTTTGAGCATCGTGGTTAGTTGTGAAACATCACGAACTTAGTGTTATAGGACACAGCTAGACTAAACAAAACTGTTAATATATGATGCAGTTAACAATATACATGGTTTATACTAAATCAGAGTGTTTAACGTTAGAAATAATTGTACAGTGAACTTACCTGGATTTTGTAGATTTGAAACGCTAACGTAGCCAATCGTAGTCAGCACGAAGTTATAACCAACGTATTGTTGCGTATTTATTTTGTAACCTTCTGGGTATGTAGAGAATGTTGTAGGTAGCGTCAAAGACATATGTCCAATCGAAGCACTAAATTCATCAGTAGTGAATGTGAACTATCAAACAATTTATCAGGAAACAACAGTAAATAATTTTCTGTACGTGGCTTTAAGGAAATAAATGTGTTCAGTTTTGTATTGCGTGAACATACAAAAGTAAATGTTTATCGGAATTTAATGAAAAACACTGAACGACATTCAGTGTATTTGTTGAGTGTGCTAAAGATAGAGGTGATGATTATAACATACTTAAATGTTGTTGATCATGACAAATGATCTTGATTAAATTTAGATAGTGTTTAATTCACGTAATTCATCTCACTTATTTACAGTGTTAGCTGAATTATTATATCTTAAACAGGATAACTGAATAAGATCAAATTTTCACAGACATCTGACTATCACGTTTTTACTATTTTCCATCATAACGTAACTATCAGTACTCCAGTTGATATTCTCTGGAGTAATTGTCATCAAAACCTGACACATTTTCTATTTTGTTTGTAATTTTGAAGTGTTCATCAGGACCTGGCAAGTTTTATTGACTTCGTCTAGTTCTACTGAATTTATCACCACCTTTAGATTACAGATTTTTGTACGAAAACTAACTAATATTAATTATTATCCGAAAGAGTGAACTAAATATATGTATAATCTGTACTGAAGATTGAATCATAAGTGTTATTGATTATCAAAGGAAATTTATTTTATTAGCGAAATCTGAACGGAGAAAACAAACAGTCTTGATCACTGATTTTCGTGAACAGACTTTTTACTGGCAGTTAAAACCTGGATATTCTGATAACGAATAAGTGGTAAATTTAGGTGGGATACTGATTGTCAGCAATGGCCAATTTATAAGAGAGAGGTCTTGATATAATTAAGTAGATAAAATCAAGTCAAGGTGATCGTTAAATAAGTTTATTACATGCCTTGTCTCCGAACGAAAAACATCCTTTTGATCCTCAAAAGACAATAATATGCATTCATCTAGTTATTGAAATGTCTTGTGGCATAAAGCTTCATATATTTTATATTGGTGATGTAAAAATTAATTTTTCGTTATGAGGCACGTCATAGTATGCAACAATTAAGTCAGAAGTCTTATTATTTAACAATTTCTTCTCATAAGACTGCAAGTTGTCCAAGTATCATACTTATCACTCACCACGTAATCGCCAATGGGTCTGCTTATAAAGTAGTCCACAGAATATTCATAAACCCCACCGACTTCCACTTGCCCTGGGCACTTGGTAAAATTCACTGAATCATATTGAATCGGACAGTTCGAGGACACTATCATGGGAATATCTACGGTAATCTTTGGAGTCAACAATGTCTCCATTTTGACCGTTAAATTGGTACCTATTGATGGAATCGACATTCCAGGAAATAGACCGATTTGGAATCGCATCTTAATACTGAAGTCATTTGAATCATTGGCAGGAGCGGATGAAACACTTATCTGACTTGTCATTGTGAACTCCGAAGGCTATGGAAAACAATTAACAAAGATGGATTGAGAGCTAGAATTCTCAGGAAATTCTTCATTTTTATATCTATAATTTGTCACCAGTGATATGAGTTGATATCAAATTACGAAGGTATACTACTGCAATTTCAAATCAATTTAGACCCATTCACAGAACGGATTTCAAGCGATGGTTTTAACTTTTTATAAAATTTTATTCTTTCGAGTGCATAATCAGTATCAGCAGGTATTTTGAATATTTTTATATGAAACAAAACTTTGAGATTTACTCTCAACCTCCAGTGAAATATGGAATAAGTCCTTGCACATATCGGTGTACTTTCCATAGTTACTTTTAATTAGTACAATATTTTTAATTACAATGTAAAATATATTGAAGGCCAGTAAAAAAAGATTGGACGATATATCAGCTTTGTGAGAAACTGTTAACTAAGGGTTATACCTATACAGAAAGTGAATTCAGAAAACCTTATTGTGTTCGCCTAATGTAGTTCAAATTATCTAGCAATTTTTCATTTTTACACACATTTATTGTCTGTTAGATGAAGTGTATTTTACTATTCGTAAACATAAATCAAGCTGGTCTGTTTACTGTTTCCATGAGAAACGTTTCTGTACATAACCATTTGCTTTAGAAACCTACTAGCTATGCTTCATTATTTTCTGAAGTGCAGTATCAATGGATATCCACAACCTAGAAAATTACAGAAATTTTTAACACATCACAACGATCAACCTATAGTGGCAGGAATCAAGAGGTGTCATCTGTATATTTATCTGTACATTCCTTGTTACCCAAACATTTGCAATTTCTAACAGTAAATGTTGTAATCAGTAAAATTCATCAAACTACATTCATATACTTACCGAGGAATTATTGTCCAAGTATGTGAGATTATTAAACTTCACAGGATAATTATTTGCTATATTTGTACCGTTGTAGTAAGCAAACAAATATTGTATATATCCGTAATAGATATTATTTATAGACGGACCAGAAAATTTCATGATCAAACTGTTATTTCCAGGTGGGAGGACAATTACGGAATCAATAAACCATGTATCGAACAGACAATAGTTTGGATTATCTTGGATGTATACTCTGGAAAATGTGACATGGATAATATCCGGTGGAACTATGACTCCCTGTAAAGAAGAAAAAATGACATTAATCATCTGGAAACCTGAAATCATAAATGATTTGGATATTACACATTATGGTTCTATATCTTACTGTGCACATTTGCTGAATCAGATAACTACGTCTTGATGAAAACACTATCTTATTTCACTAACATCGGAATCATTAAATCGAAGTCATTAATGAATGAAGGTTGCTATCTTAAACACCACATTGTTTTGTAGGATAAGTGAATGTGAAATGCATACGAATTGTGAGATGAATGACAGAAATTGCAGTTTAATTTTGAAAAAATACCACAATAAACAGAGATCATACCCTCTTGACTGCAGTCATCTCACTTTCTGTTTCTTCTCCAGAATAATTTTCATCAATTAAAATGTTGACCGTTGCATCATCAGATATATTTAGTGAAGTATTTGCATTCCTAACTGTCACTTGAAAAGTGATGGTATGATTATTCTTGATTGTTTCATAATCACTTGCAATAACTTTCAAAATACCAGTTGATCCATCGATAGCTACTGGTAAGTAGTTTGAACGAGGTACAATGTTAAATTGAACACTTCCACATGATGCTAAGGAGGAGTTTTCATCACTCAGAGAAAGACTACCAATCACACTTCCATTGATCCAGTTAGAAAACTTGGTTTCGAAGGTGAATACTGTCTGAGTGAATTTTGGAATTCTATATACTAAAATGGTAAGCATATAATCTCTACAAAGTTAATATTTCACAATATGTATGTAAATGAGAAATAAATTATTAGGCATGGAATGGACTATATTTCTTCAACTGTAACCAATGCACAATACAAATGATTGAGCGTTTTAACAAATAGATGAATCAATTCATGAAGAAATTTTGTTTAAGTTAACCAAATCAAAGCATTGATGATTTTCAAAGATTTCTTATAACATGATGCGATGTAAATTTGACTACAAGCTTGTCAAGAAATGTGAATTATTGTCAATTCAGTGTAATGTTTATTTCTTATACAAGTAATGTAGTTAATGAAGAACTCAGGTGCGAAAGACCAATTTATTGTTCAATGCAAAATTATAGAGTTACATTGAATACTTCATTTGCAAATCCTACATCTCTTATCTTTACATCATTCATAATTCTTCCATCTCTCAATCCCTTCATGTTTCCCCATTCTGTGTTATTCAGTGCTATATTCTCAAGCTTCTTTCGATAGACATTCAACTTCTGATTGGTTTACATACTACTTATGTAGACAGGTATATGTAGAATACGCTACAGTACTCCTTATGAGTTTGACATAAGAGTCTTTAGCATCATCTTGATAAGGAAATGGTAGAATGTAACCAAATATTCATACAACCAAACAAAATTAGTCTTGTTATTAGTTATATTGACTAGTTAAACCATAAATGACTGATTTACCTCGTTCTTCACAGGTTTTCCCGATCCAACATGTATTACATACACACGTTCCATTAATGCAGTGACCATTAACACAGCTCCTAGACAAAAAGATTGTGTATTGCGGTCTTATACACACAAATAATTCATAATTTGTAGATAAGTGAAATTTGTTATGCATGTTTCAATAACTTTAGTTTTATTTCGTGGAACTGACTTGCAAAACACCAATATTATGCCATTAAAAATCAGTTACTTTAGTATGAAGATGAAATACCAAGGTGTATATTTAGTAAAAGAAACAACCTTTATCGGTACATTAGCTAAATATATCGGAATATGTACTATTTGGATATCTGTTCGACTTTACTTATGCCATGGCCATCCTAAAATAGTAATTTTATATCTCTGCACAGTTTAAATTTAATAAAATATTTAATACTTCTACGAGTTTATCCATTTTGAAAAGTTGGTAAATCGAGACTAAGAGTCGAAAGCTTCAAATATGAAATCGCCGACTGTATTTCCTACACAATCAACAACAGATCATTAAGGTTTAGGGTTTGTTCATTCAGTTCAACCATAAACAAAACCGAAAATAATGCCTATAAATGGCCTGAAATTCTTGAGAACTGTGCTCAGCCTACTTTTAACTACCATTCTTATACGAAATTGATGTAATATTCCAAGTTTATCCATCTTGCAAAGTTGGTTAGTTTGCACAGTAATCATTTGCAATTTAGTTCATGTATATCGAATGGTAGAACAAAAGTATTTGAGATGTAGTATTGATACAGAAAATTGAAGATATTGCTCTACTACTTGTTTGTAGCATAGTTTAATTTGACTGTGAATATAGTTGACCGCTTCCTCTATTGTTTGATTCACATTAGTTCTATTGGATTAGTGATTGCGAACTCTAGACATAAATAGTTATTGACCGGTGTCTATACAGTATACCACAAGTGAAACAAATGTCTTGTCACTGCTCAATACAAACAATTATACCACATTTTATGTTACTTATGTATCTATCCATATAACACAGAAAGTTGTTAGGTGGTTGAAGATAGTCGGTGGGAAACACTGGTTGTGTGTTATTCGCGGCTTGCTAGCAGCTAAGTAAACCACAGATTTAGGTCAACACTAAGAACTAAACATACATGATATTAACGTTTATTCGATAACCAATCACTCCTGTTTATTAATAAACCTCTAATCAACCAAAGACATTTAAAGAGAAAAATAAAAATTTACTACTATCACAACTATGATCACAAACCATCAATAATCTTCCAACAGACTTACGATGAATTATTTTCACACAATTTAGTGGATTGTTCAAATGATCCATGAGCTACTGAATGGAATATATTAGTTTATACTTAAACAATCATTCATCAACTTACAAACAGTATGAATCAGTATAATGATCAAATCTGTTGAAATTCTTTGATAGAGGATCATTATGTATGAATGTGAAAATGTAAGTAAAACGAAGGTGATGATGATGGTGGTGAAACTATTGGGTTGAACTTTGTTTAAAATATTTTTGGATGATTTTACTAATTTAAGTCGGTAGATAAATTAATTTCAAGTAAAACTGAATTGCAAAATATGTAATCGTTTCAGCCAATCAGAATACAGTTACTGGATTTTGGGCAGTTACACCTATTTATTCTAATTCGTAGTAACAAACGAAACCTGTTGACAATCCACATATTTCTCATATGAATGGATTTTTCAACAACAGAACACTTGAACACTCCAATAGCAACAATTATTACTACATACTCTCATACTGACCAAAAATATAATGATGTTAACAAGTTTTTAGTATTTTGGGCGATAGTGAACTAAAAGTATGATGTGAACCTGAGACTGGACTGTGATAAAGTGTACTACTTGCTCAGTTGTCCTCAAGCAAAATATAAAAAAACTAACAATTTGGTAACCAAGTGATTAAAAATAAGAATGTTTTAGGTTGACTTCATAAGTGGACAATACAAAATGGTGTTGATGCCTTGTCTCATTTAACCGAACAATTTCTCTTTACTGAAACAATTCACATCTGTCATATTTTAATAAAACATTGTTATAATTTAGCCTGCAGATAATTTAAGGACAACAAATTGAATGAGTAGAGTATATAAGTCACCGGTATTTAAGCTTTCACTATTGTCTATCTGGTATGCTTCAGTGAATAAAGATTATTTGACTATTATTTTCATTATGTTTATTATATTACGGAGACATAGTAGTTAAATTAAATTAACTCTCTGCATCACATCTTGGAATTGTTTGTAATAAATAACTACAATACGAAACAAGAATTAAGATGATGTACCACCAAGTTTAAAGCACCCTTTATAATAATGCGGTTAAAACTGCTGTTTGCTTTTCATAATTCAACTGAAAAATGTCTTCATTTTTGAATTAATTACAGTCAATTAGTTCCCACTGTTTTATTCTGAGTTTGAATTTCTCATATGCAACAATGTAGTCCAACTAAGAGAATTGTTTTCCAGTTAAAGGTGTTGATTCGACATATCTCATTGAAAACACCAAGTAATGAAACGACAGTTTGCATTCTTGCTCAGTTTGAGTTGCTGAATATATCATATTTTCATTTTTGTATCAGTCCGAAAATTTCGTTTCATCATTCATTCCTCTTCACATTATAATTAGTCTTATATCTAAATAGAAATATGTAGAATGTTCCTTTAATCCCAGTTCTCGATTACTGTTGCTTAAAATTTAAATATCAGTTAATTTTTTTTACTAAAGTTAATGTAACACCAATTTCAAAATCAACACGCATTCCTAATACCGTAGGACCATTGATGACCACAATTCTGTGAAATAGGGGTAGAAAACTTAAAAATGATTAAAAAGATCAAGATATGATCTTGTAACGTTAAATCCCATTTCTTGATTTAGCAGTTCATAAGTGCATATTGTCTAGGAATTTCAGGTTGTACATCTTAATCTCAGTCTAGATATTTTGTTTATTTCTGTTTATCATTTTATATACATGTAGTCAGGACTACTTATCTAGGCAATAAAACGGAAATTTCATAAACTAAAGTGTATCCATTGTCAGCTTTCACTGCATTGTGAATACCTAGCAAGACAAGTGGAAGAGCGTTGGTCCACTGTGAAACGTTTGCAGCTGATAGTGAAGCTTCTAGTTTTCGGTGAAAACGTTCTACCAACCCATTTGTTTGTAGGTGGTAGGCGGTCGTTCGGTAGCGAGTGATTCCTATTAGTGTGATTAGACAACGGAAAAGTTCAGAATCGAACTGACGTCCATGATCTGTAGTGATGGCTGAAGGGCAGCCGAACTTTGCTACTCATCGCTAGACGAAGGCTCAGGCCACTGTTTCAGCAGCAATATCTTTGATGGGTACTGCTTCTGGCCATCGAGTGAAACGGTCTACGCAGGTTAAGAGATAAGAGTATTCATTTGAATCTGGTAAATGTCCTACCAAATCCAGATGAACATGGTCGAATCAAGCATCAGGAGTTTTGAATGAGCCTAAGGGACATTTGTTGTGCCTAATCAACTTAGATTTGTGACAGCTTACAAAGGAGCGTGCTCACTTTCTCACGTCTTTATTCATACCAGGCCAGCAAAACCGTTCTGCTATGAGATTGATGGTTGCACGAACACCTGGATGAGAAAGCTTGTGCAACGTATTGAAGACGTTGCGTCGATAATGTTTCGCCACGACTGGGCGATCACTACCTGTAGATGTGACACATAGTAAGGTTTCCTTACCTGTTTCCATCTGTTTGATGCTCAGTTTAAGTGTTTTTGCGGATAACTCGTGCTGAAGACCAGTGTCTTTTTTTGAAGCTGGGCGAGTTTCAGAAGGTCGATTCCTTGGAAACTGTTCAAGGAAGTTATGCGAGACAAGACGTCTGCGACTACATTGTTTGCTCCAGAAATGTGGTAAATATCTGAAGTAAACTGCAAAATGTAGTCCAGTTGTCGAGACTCACGTGGTGAATACTTGTCTGAAGAGAAACTTAAAGAGAATGTAAGACGTTTATGGTCAGTGAAAATGGGGAATTCACGGCCTTCGATATAGTGTTGAAAATACCGTACAGCACAATACATAGCTAGGAGTTCCCTACCGAATGTACTGTACCTCTATTCAGTGTCTAGCAACCGTCTAGAGAAAAATGCTAAAGGTTGCCAAGAGTGGTTAACCCATTGTTGTAAGACTCCTCCGATTTCTGAGTCGGATGCGTCTACTGCGATACTAATGGATGCTTGAGTGTTCTCATGTGCAAACATCGTTGCTTTAGCGATAAG